AACCCCGTGATTAGCCCTCAAGCTCTGTGATTGGATGTTGGAGTGGCAGTGCGACAAGGTTACGCCGAGTGTCAAACAGCTCTTTGAAATGGAATGGAACCACGCCAGACTATCCAAAACTGGACTTGGACGGGTCCAGCCCAGCCCCCCCCCCACCAGAATTACACATGCTGGCTATCGTGTGTTTCGCAACATGTTCTATGGCACGTCTCTACTGGGAATTGTAGTTTTATAAGACGTTTTCGTATTTCCCACAATTAGAAGTTGCTAGTATTAAACTGTATACATCCCTGGAGGTTTAGGGGATACGAAACACATTGGTGTTATCAAATTTAAAACATATAATTAATACATGGGTGAAAATGGCTTGTGTCCATAATGGGCAGCATTAATATACCCACATGACAGCTAAGGTCAGAAGAGCTTTATTTAACAGCTGGTCTTGTCTGTGACCCCTCCTGTTGTTAATTGATAAGCCTGAGACATGCACTTGTATAGGTTCAGATGCACATTTAGCAAATATGGCAGTAGCCATCGATCATCTTAAGATAAGATACTTTATTGATCCCAAGTTGGGAAATGTTTTTGTTACAGCAACATGTACTACTTTGTTCTATTCCACTACAATTCAGAGGTCAACCTGGTATTTTTACTCTACTACATTTATTTTTGTTACTTTGCAGATTGTGATTATTGATGTGAAATATAAACAACCCTTAAATCAGACTTTAGTTACACCTGAGTAAAATTCAGCCTTATCAGTTTGTCTGTTTTGCACATCCTCCTGTTAATATCTTTGGACATCCTGCACTAAACTGTTTTATTGTAGAGATCACTACAGTATCTTCTTGATATTTTCTATCCTATATTTCTATCATTGACCCCTATTTTGTATGTAGGCTACTCTTAATATTTAAATGTTTTCATAAAATATAACTTATTCAACAACAAAATTCAATAACGTGCTTAAACCACTAGGAGGTGCGGTTTAGACCCGTGGTCTAGTTAATAAAACATAATAATATCAAACATAATATGACTATTAACTTTATTGTGAAATTAAAACAGAACGGTAAAGGAAAATACAGTTTCAGTCTCTCGATGTGAAGCTTATGCATTCTACCATGAACTTGTATAGACCTGTTACGGTTGCTGTTTGTCTGCTCATTAATCTGCCTGTGAGTGTTTTCAGCTGTGTGTGTGATTATGTAAATGAGCTTTGTGGTTGCTCCAACATCATTGGCTGCCCATCTCCTGGTCCGCCTCTGAAGATGGTGATTGGATTGACGTCGTCCAATCGCAGCGCACAGCCGGCGCACACCTGCTGGGGAGGAGTACAAAGGCCGCGGACTATCACCACTCTGGAGGCTCTGTTGAGTGAACAGACGCCTCTCGCTATTTGCTCTTTGTTCTGGGGGGGGTTAACTTGTGTGGACCGTGTCATTGTGATTAGCAGTATTGTTGTGATTAGATGTGCTTAGATTAGTTTAGTATTGTTTGACTGTTGTCCTAGCTGTGTTTTCTTACAGCCTTCCTTTGCTAGTTGTACCACTTATACAGTGAGGTTTTGTTTCCTTCTTTATTTAGTGTGTGAGTATTTAGTTTCCCTGTATGTGTTTAGACTCACTTTTTAGAGTCCTCCCTTAGTTTGGTTGCCCTTTTAAACTTGCGCCCTTGTGGCCTCTATTGTTTGTTATTTAAACCGGTGTTTGTGGCAATTTGTTTGTTCCAGGCTGCTTGCCTGCCATTTTGTTCACCTGTTGTGCATTAAAACAACTTATAACTTTTACCAATCCCATTCTGGTTGTGTTGCTTCCCTTTGATTCCCCTAGCTCAGAAGGGAACATACTAAACAGTCAACTGCATGAGGAGTTGGAAAGGTAGTTCAGAAAATCAGTAATATCTTTAAAAACTACAAAAAAGTCCCTTTCTATCAGCTGTGCACCGCTATGGTGTAAATACAGACTATCTACTAATTGGATCAAATATAAAAGTCAGCCGAATTAGTGTTGATACTGCAAGGAGACGTATTGTGTGAAAAGAAATGGAAGATGTTGTTTAATTGTTGTTAAATGGTCCACGTTACGTATTCAGTTTTGGCGGCATCTCTTCCAGTTTGTCAAAAGGTCTTCTGATCAGGGCTCTATAAATACATATCTAGGGCAGATCTGTAATATGTAATGCAGCCGAACCGTGTATCAAAACCTCTGAAAAAAGAAATGTGTCTCTCAGAATCGAAAGAGAAAAACCTATGGGAAAAACACAAAAGCATTGGCCACAATTTAAACCAATTAATGTCGTATAATTAACAAGGATAAACTGATGTTTTTTAGTGGATGAGTACTGCAGATATCACTGTTAAATAATTTGATCATTGGTTTTATTATGAAAACGTCGAGACCGGAAATACTGTTTTCAACCCGTAACTTTACATGGAAGCTTGCCGCATATACACGTTCTTCCACTGACCTTATTTCGAGCTATTTTCCAAAAATGGGAGAAATCCCATTGCTTTTTTGTCGAGGGAAACATGAGGGAAACCGAGCGCAGCTTACTTCCGGATTTTAGGATGCGTCACTGCAACACTAAATTGATGCGATTTGATTGGATTGTAAGGCAAGGGAAGCCAGCCGCCTCTGGCTTCCCTTGGCATGGCCCTGACTAATCACAGACCGTTTCTCAATCTCGAGGATTCTGGCTTCCAAGCCAATATTTCAAGGATGCTACGTCATCGAGTGCCGCCGAAGGACAGTTCCAATCTCCAGCATACTTGAAATTTCACCGAGGCCGCGTCCATGGTTTGGGGGAAATTTCGAGGCTGCACATGGGTAGACTTCGCGTCCTTAAAATCCCCACAATGCTTTGCGCACGGACCAATTTCAAAAACCCTTGCGGAGAATTGTGTCCCCCCGCACTTTTCGAAATCCTGTTTGTGTCCCCCCACTTTACAAATATGTTTATTATATTTTTTTAACGCAAGCCGCCATCGCCATGGAGGAGCACACAGCCTCTGTGAGCGAGCGAGACAGAGGGAGAGAAAGAGAGAGCGACGGAGCTAGGGAGGGAGGGAGAGGGAGAGAGAGAGCGAGAGAGCTAGGGAGAGCACACTTTTATATATTTAATATAAAGTAAGAAATCATTCCAATGTGTACTATAGGACAGTACACAAAACAGTTTAAAAGGGGAGTGATCAGTAAAATATGCATAAAGAAAAATATAGAATGCTAACTAGGTAACATAAGATAAGAATAAACAAGTTTAAATGATTTGTTATTGGTTGTGATCATATTCTAAAGATGTTTTTATTATTGAAAAGTATACAGCTCCCTTTCATCTGAGTGTTGAGAGCTGTATCCATAAATTCATGTTGTGCTCAAAGTGCACCAGATTGATGCATTTCACTTCAACATTTTAAAAAACATCTTCTCGGGGGTGCATGCCCCAAGACCCCCCTAGAGGAGGTGAGGACCCCCCTAGGGGATGTGAGGTCCCCCCTGGAGGATGTGAGGCCCCCCCTAGAGGATGTGAGGCCCACCCCCAAATAAAGCAGGTTAAAATAATTAAATTGCATACATGTTATTTGAGTAAACACTGAAAACGGGTCCCACAGACCCAAACAGCACACAAAGGTTAAAGGTAAGCATATCATAATGTTAAAATGTGCTAAATATATACACTGCAAAAAACAAAAAAAGAGGAGTAAAATTAGCCCCCGACTTGTTGTTTTATTTTTTGAAAGTAGCCCTCATCCTAAAAAAGGTTGGTGACCCCTGGCTTAAATCAACACAATAATAAAACACGAATTGGACTTTATGTGACAGAAATAGCCTTTTTCAGAAGATTATTTGTACAGACGTGACAATAGCCCCCTGGTGAGACCAAAATACTCAAAGTTCTACAAGACCCACTAATCTTTCCACGTCACACAGGCTGTCGAGGCAACTCAGTGCTGAGCCACAGAAACAACCCGTTGCTCTGGGCAGTCAATTAGAGCCGCATGATCAAACATGTCAAACCCCGCATAAGGTCCCAAGACAAAGCCAGAGCCATCTCCAGCATCTGTTGTTCATAGCAGGCCATCAGGGGCTCAATGGAATTTCTCCAGAATAGAATTTTTTTTTAAAAAGGAAGCACTTTGACTACAAAAAACATAGCTATGTAATACAATGTAATGATATAAATGTCCCCGTTGGTACAACTGCACTAAAGTTGATTATTTTCCTAAAGTAATTTTTTATCCGAAATCAACATTTGCTAAATGCGGCAAGACAAACGGCTGCGAGTCACATTAGTATTGATTTTTTTATTTGACTATATAACTCAATACAATTGTTGTTGGGGTAAATATTGCCCATTATCAAACAGCAATATTGCCACATTAATGTGCACTTAAAACAACTTTTTCCCAGAAGGGATTGGTTGCATGCTTGACAGTAGAGGAACATGTGCCATTAGATAAACATGTATAGAAAATATATCGCTAGGGTAAACACTCTCTAGATCAGGAATATTGCATTAAAATAGCTGTGAGATTGTGGAAGACTTTGCTTTGGTTGTTTTTTTGGATACATTACTTGATCTTTTGAATCAGAAATATTGTTGAATTGAAGTGTTTTTGTTTGGTTGTTTTCATTATTATTATTAATGAAAATTCATTATTTCAAGTAGAGTAAATCCGACTGAAATGTAAAAAAAGTGCTTTCTTTTCAGTCTTGAATGAAAGGTTGCTAAAATACTGAATGTATGCAATGAAAATGAATAGTCACTAAATATTTAAGTGGGGAAAACAATGCATGTACAAAAATGTTCATTTACTGTATGTGTGCAAGCCTCGCAGAAATACATTTTATTATTCTGCGAAGGAAGCTACTCAATGACAAATGCTCTCCAAGTACTTGAGTCAAAGTTAAACAATCACAAGTAACGTGAACATTAATAACCTGCTTAGATGTGATGAGTCATAAAGTGAGGATAAGAAAAGAGAAGAAAGACAGACTCACCATGTCTGTATCCGACACCGGCCCGAAACTGGTCACGTAGATGTTTGTCCTCACTTCTGTCACACTCTCTGAGGGAACAGACAACAAGGAGCAGGGAAACATTACAGTGAAGTGTGTGTCCAGAAAGCTTTGTTGCAGCTCCGTCTGTTAAGCTGATTGTTTGTGTACATGACGGTAAAGTCTGCCTGTTGGCATTTAACTAAGCGGCTTCACAAAAACTCCACCGTAATCAAGGGTTAGAGGAACACTTCATGCTAGATTTATGCACGCTCGGTGGAGAAATTGTGGACGGCTTAATACCTGATTCTCTCATTCTTTGTATTATCTTGTCAAAACCATGTCACAGATCGCAGGTTTTAGAACGTAATGCCGGACCAAGAACATTCAAAATCTCCTTAAAATGTACAAGCATTGCAAGACAGCATTGGTAATAATAATCCCAAGTATTCCGACAAGGAACTTCAGCTTCAATCTTGGGGTAAAACGGTGCTTTGAGCAGCTACACAGATGCTTTTGAAAGCAAATTAGTAAAACTACCATTTGTCTGGCTCAAGCTAGCTTTGTCCAATACAGCATACAATGTGCTCTTGGCAGGCCCAAGTGTGCATCTTTGGAGAGAAAACATCCCTTTTGACCCAAAAATAATTTGAGTTAGCCTGCCCCAAAAACATTTAACAATCCCTACGGGCCTACTGGCTCGGGAGTAATATGCAGCAGTCAGCGTTAAATATGAGCCTGTGTGTGTGTTCTTTAATTCACATAATGGGCACACTTTGCTGCTATTACACAATTGTATGCACACATTATAATCTCTTTAGTCTATTGTAGTATGAATCCGGCATGACTGTTACCAGGCTTGTCTGCTCTGTATATTCCTATAGGGCCAGTGCAGTTCTTTAATCATAATTACATGTCTCGTTGCGTTACATAACGACTGCTTTTGTTTCGTCACGATGACTTATTAACTATTCTTGATACTGTAACGATGACCCAATTGATCATTATACAGTAAATTAGTCAGGACTTTTTAATATGATAATAATGAGCTGTGGAATAATTGTTTCCAAATACTTCACAATTGATTTGAATATTGCATGTAGGAGGGCACAAAATGAAAGTCGTGACAGATCAAAATGTGCCTTCTTCAGTGGGCGCTGATTCAGCTTCTCGGGGCCAAATGTGTGAAGTAGCCTTTTGGGCCATTTGTGAGACAAATGGCTGCTCCCAGTGGTGCAACAACTACAGAGTGATGAGGCCTTTCTCCAAAAGTGAATGGATCCTCGACTCTAACTGTGTCCCAGATCTAACTGACCACCCACAGGTGAAGTCTCCAATCCTCTGGCAAAGGGCCCCCTTGAGAGACAAGATCCACATCCACATTAATCATTGCTGTGACACAAATAGCTCTCACAAATGTGTGATTATCACAACACCCAGTCAGCAGTTTGCATGGCGGGGGAGGCAAAATGAGATGCCCCTGTTTCTGTTTACAACAATGCACCAGAGCATGGGGCAGAGCTAATAGATGCTGCTGAAAATGAATTTAAATGGGACTTTTTGCTCCAGCTTTCTATCCAGTGTGTTGGTCTAAGATTGGTCCCACATGACTGTTTCTCACTGGGAATGTGGTTGGTGGAGCAGGTGTGTAACCAACAGGAGGATGATTGGTAGCCTTGTCCATGGATGTGTAGAAGCTGTTGGCTTTGACTGAGTGTTTCTGCCATTCTTAGGAGGCAATCAACTTGTGTCTGCAGGTAGATGGAACGTGGATGTATAAAGGGAGCTAAATACAGCGTTGAAGGCGGCCTGGTTGATTCCATTGAAAGTTGCTTAGTAGTGCTAAGCAACTCGACCTGACTCTCGAGTATAAAAAGTAACCGAATTATCCGGGCCCATAAAGCTTGCGCACTTGCGTTTTCGTTAAGCCCCGCCTCTGATCGGCTCTGTCACATCAACGACATGTCTGTCCCGGTTAAGTCGAATAAATGAAGAGAGAAATAAACTCTGGCTTTTTGAGCATTTTACAACTTTTTGTTCCTTTTTTTTTTTTTTTTTTTCTGAAAACTTCGAGTAGCGGCTCCTGGACATTAACTTATAACTGGGACAGTTATGCTTCGTAAATAGACGGAGGGTTTCAGCCATATTTCAATATTTTTACGACGACCTCAGTCTTACAGTAGCGTGGCCTAGCAACAGCATGCTATTTAGCTTAAGCTAGTTAGCAGCAAAATGCCTCCGTTCTCTACAGATGACTTCCACAAACTTCTACAGAAGATCGCCGTGTTGGAAATGAAAATGCAACAGTTGGAAGTTAACGTGGAAGTGAATGGACTAGGTTGGAATGACACCACTTTACCAGTGTTGCAACTCAAAGCTAGTTAGCAGCTACAAGGATTCCAAGGAACAGGAGGGCTGTGTACCGGGTAATAAATCTACAGGTAATACATCTACAAGTGGTAGCCCTCCCTCGAACTCTCTGGGTGCAAGGCCGAAGAGTAAATCATTTCCATGGGATTTGGGAGGACGAACAACAGGCAGAGCCCAGCGCTCTGAAATCTGTGATGCGACCGGCTGGCCTGCATTGTTATCACCCAGGAGGAGCGCCTCTTCAACCCCTGTTCATACTAGGAAACAGCCGTGGACAGCTGCTAAAGGGAGAACTACAAAAAATCCTCCTAAACCACAGAGTGTGCCAATCCAGAACAGATACGCTCCGCTGACCGAGAACCGGAGATCTCTTCTGATGACCTGGATAACCTGTCCTCTTCACACAGCAGGGTAAGGACCAATAGCTACTCCAAAAGTAAAAGGCTAGAGGGAAAGCTAACGACTGGGCCTGAAACTCTGATTGTGGGTGACTCTGCTGTAAGAGATGTAAACAGTCTGTGTAGTAAGAACAACACCAAAGTACTCTGTTTTCCCAAGGATATGGTCTCTGACTTGGCTGAGAAGATCGTGCATATTGGGGCTGAACATCCAACTGTGAAACATGTGGTACTGCACATTGGAACAAATGATGTTGTGAAACAACAGTCAGAAGTGCTGAAAAAAGACTTTAAATGTTTGTTGGAAACTGTCAGCTCTCTCAATGCAGAGGTGTTCATCAGTGGCCCTTTACCGCCAGTCAGAAGAGGAGTGGAGAGATACAGCAGATTGTTTGCACTGAACACCTGGCTTTCAACTGCCTGTATCTGTGTTGATAGGTAATAGATTAAGAGCGGTGAATCATAGAAACAGGAAGCGCTCAAACGTTTGTGTGAGTTTATCTAATTTAGCAGTGATTCCATGTCAGCCACAGCTTGTTACAAAAAACATGACTGATACTGTGTTTAACAAACTTAAACTAGCTTTATTAAATGTCAGGTCTTTGGCAGGAAAAACATTTTTAATCAATGATTTTATCACTGAGCACAATCTCGATTTTATGTTTTTAACAGAAACTTGGATTGAACAAAATAACAGTGCAGCTGTTCTTATCGAATCAACCCCTCCCAACTTTAGTTTTATGAGTCAGGAAAGAATGCATAAGAAAGGGGGTGGAGTTGCTATTCTGTTCAATGATTCCCTTCAATGCAGGAAGACATCGTATGGAAACTTTGATTCTTTTGAATATGTGGCCCTTCAGCTGAAATGCTCCTCTCGAGCTCTGTTCCTAAATATCTATAGACCACCCAAATACTGTGCAAGCTTTTTTGATGACTTTACTGAACTGCTGTCTATAGTGTGTATTGACTTTGACCGTCTAGTCATTGTTGGTGATTTTAACATCCATGTTGACAACCCCCAGGACAGAGGGGCAAAATAACTGTTTTGTGTTCTTGATAGCTATGGACTGACTCAGCATGTGACGGAGCCCACGTACAATAAGGGGCACACTCTGGACTTAATTATCTCAAAGGGTCTGAATATCTCTAAGGTTGTGGTGACTGATGTTGCACTCTCTGACCATTCCTGTGTTTTCTTTGAGAGCTCTATTTCTGTTCACAAAAATGTTCAAAAAGAGGTAACCACAAAGCGATATTTAACTGAAAATACTAGGGAAATGTTTACTCAGAATTTTTCTTCCACACTTGCCCCTGCTAACATCTCAGTAAATGAGCTAGTAGATCATTTTAATTCAAAAATTAAAAATGTTATAGATGCCATTGCTCCAACTAAGGTAAAGTAAGTGTCTGGGAAGAAAATAACTCCATGGAGAAAGGCCATGAGCGTGAAAACAGAAAAAAGAGAATGTCGAAAAGCTGAACGCAGGTGGCGAAAAACAAATCTCCAGGTTCACTTTGAAATCTATAAAGAGAGACTTGGTCTTTATAATTTGGAATTGAAAAACGCACGACAATCGTTCTTCTCTGACATCATTACTAAAAACAAAAACAACGCACGTGCCTTGTTTGCTACCGTCGACAGACTAACTAACCCCCCAGTGTCAGTATCCTCTGAATTTCTATCCACCAAGGCGTGCAATGATTTTGCCTCCTTTTTCACTGACAAAATTCAGAAAATCAGACAAGCAGTCAGTGCCTCTGCATCAGGAACAGCAAATGTGTTGTCCCTATCTCCACTTAACATCAATTCAAACACCATGACACAATTCCATCAGATTAATGATAAAAACCTAGAGGACATTATACAACTTCTGAAATCCTCCTCCTGCTGCCTTGATATTATTCCAACAGGATTTTTCAAAGATGTTTTGCCTTGCATGGCCTTAGATCTACTTCATATAGTAAACAAATCTCTTCACTCAGGTATTTTTCCACAGGCCCTGAAAACTGTAGTCATTAAACCGCTCTTAAAAGAGAATAATCTAGATGCTTCAGTAATGAACAATTACAGGCCCATATCAAACCTGCCATTTCTAGGTAAAATCATTGAAAAAGTTGTTTTTCAACAGTTGAGTAATTTCTTGCATTTAAATAACTGTTTTGATGTGTTCCAGTCAGGCTTTCGTCCAAACCACAGCACTGAGACTGCTCTTGTAAAGGTCTTAAATGACATCCACTTAAACACAGACAGTGGCAGAACTTCAGTGTTAGTATTATTAGATCTCAGTGCTGCGTTTGACACT